AAAGAAAGGTGCCGTTTCTGTGGTGTTAAATGTTTACATGATAAATGGCTTACATCCCCATTTGGCCAGCCATATACCCATCCATGCCGATGATGCCTGTGAAGATTTTATAAAGTGGCGCCCTCTGGGAACAAATCGCTTATAGTAGTATGCGATGTACGTCAGTGAAAGACGGAGCGGTTGTTCACGATGCGTCGCTATTTTTGTTTCATGTGCAGCCGTTTTGAGAGACTCGTTATATTTGAATAATAGCTTCATTCAGCTGTGTCATTTGTACGTGGAAGACGCACATCAACGCTAGTTGGCGGGTATTTGGATAGTGGCAAAGTTTTACTAATATACTGAAAAGGGACACAGCTAATCAAGAGGGGTATTTTCGTAAGCTGTACAATTGTTTTTATTTTCGTAATACATGTATTTCTGTAATGCAATTTAAGTTAATAAAAAACGTAAATTCGTAGTCATGGGCAAGGTGTAAAATGTAATGAGCTATTTTATTTATCCGTAGTTTGTACAAAGATCTTATTTTTTTAAGCGTATAAAGCATTTCCCACATTAAATGTCGTAATTCGTACAAATTATCAAGTATATTATAAATATGTAATTAGCTATTTGCTTTATCTGTAAAGTGTAAAACAATATTTTTTTTACTGTAAGGCCAGACTTTTTTTATTCGTTGTTTCTCGAGTTTTTATACGTCAATTTTTTTGAGGAGGGCGGAAAAAAAAACTTTTTTTTTTCCATTAGATTTGTGTGATTATCAAAGAATTGTAAGTGAGATCATTGATCGGAGTAAAGAAATGAAATAAAATTTTATTCCATGTATAACCTTGTTTCTCATCTGCGCGAGACTTCGGTACTTTGATCATGATACTCTCATAAAAATGCAACTTGGGTTTGTTATGCGGCGGGCGGAAAAAAAATGAAGATAAAAATAAGTTTTTTAGCAAATTTTGCGCTTACAAGTCGGCGGTCGCGAGAAATTACGCTGAAATAAAATTTTATTTTTATTTCATTTTCGGCTCCTGCTCATTTGTCGGGTTCGCGAAACAAGGGATAATAAATGTCTGGCCTAAATGGAACTTTCATTTTTAGAGTAAAATGAGCACAACGTATTTGTAAATAATATTTTAATACACGAATTTCAAATTATATATACATATCTAAATACAACATACCTTCTGCCAACGTAAACTCTTTTTTGTTCAAATAGACTAAAAATACATCTCATGTATTTTGCACAAACCTGCCTCCCCTACATACGATAATAGACTCTTCGCCATCACTCCTACCACCATAAATTACCGAGTCATCTCACTCGCCATTATTCGTTATTTATTCATAAATCCAGTCAGAGCTGCGTACATGTGAGTCGCGTCGATACAGGCAGCTGTATCTCAATAGTATTGACCAGCGGACTCAGGTGATTTCGCGGTCTTGTAGATAACCGGAGAACACACGGTCATTCAACAACAGCTGATTTTACAGATTCGTGAATTCACGTGCGGTGATTATGGTGATGTTTTAGACTACAGAACGGACATCAGGTTTGTCTCATTTTTATTATTATGTAAATTTCATCTCATCTTCCTGTTCTGTTCAGTGGCACAAATATTTTTATATCAAGATATGTCAAACCAGGTTATTTACCGAAACACAAGCTTAACCCTATTTGTTGATTGGGTAATTATTGTTAGTCACGTGTACTTGGGCGACCAATATCCAATGGCAAACATTAAAGCAATCTCGAAAATAGAGGATGATGATGAAATGGAAAATGAAGATTCCTTTTAATTTATGCGAAGTCTACAATAGCTATATGACTGAGCAAATTCAGCCATTAACACCAGCTTTAATTGAACAAAGACCTTTATTCATAAATATCACTATTTAAGTAATTCAACATTTTGATTTATTTATATTTATTTTATTTACATTTATTGTTTATTTTTTAATAATAACTAATAGTAGTATCCTGATATGCTCTATCAGTGAACAGTTTGACCTTTGACATAATTGATATAAAACATAATTTAAAGGAAATTCTATCAACAAATGAAAACTCCAGTCTCCACACACAGTGCCATGTTCGATATGGATCCCATGCCACGAATACAACGTATGTCGAATATGTTGTCTATTTACGTGACATTTGAAACCGGTAAAATAACCATGGTGATTGTCAACCTTATAAAATTTATACATGTGTATACAAATAAACCATAAATGTTGACCCCCTAGGTTAACGGAAATGATAATAAAGCTGCTTTCTTTATCATTCTGTTCTTTTAAAAAAAATCACTGCATTTTTTATACACAAATAGTTGCTTTTATAACATACACTATAAATACAGTAAATTAACAAAATGTAAATTAATAATGAATTGTTTTTAATATTTTTTATCTATACATTAATCTGCCGAACGATTCTTAAAAAACAGTGTTTAATAATTCTTGTGCCAATATGTTTTTATGTATACATGTATGCTCTACCAAATGCAAATGCATTTTCTTTCAACACTCTTGTTCATTTAAGTGAAAATTTAAATAAATTTGGTCAAAGATTCATTGTAAATGGGTAATTTTATTTGAATTTGCATATTAATTTGTATCAGGTCTATGAGGGGGAAAAGGTCTGTCATTGTTGTTGTCGTTATTGTTGTGGTTGTACAGACTATTTTCTTGTAGTTGTAATAACTTAAAAAATATATTTTCTTGTAAATATATCCATGGTCAAAATGAGTAATATTTTAATAACAAATTGGATATTTCGTTTATATGTGCTTTTAATAGAGCACATACAATATGCAAATTAACTCTATTTTGAATATCTACATCATATTGATTGGTCGATAATAAATCACCTGGGTCGCTTGATGGGTTCAATTGAAAGTTCTGGTTTTTATCTATCATATCAATATAATTTAATGTACCACAGTCGTCACATGGCACCAAATTCTATTTTGTGTAAACAATCTTGAATGAATTAAACATGTGTTGTATATGTTGCATGGGACTGCAGCAATTCAACTAATTCTCAAAAATCATATATCAGAAAATAATATTTCTGTTGTTAAACACAAAATATTATTCATTTCATGAATTACACAAACATACATGTACATTGAATAATTGATACATGCTATTATTATTACTTTTATTTTTTTTAAATTCTATTTTTTTTATCCCCAAGATTTCATAGTTTTCATGGAAAATTACAATGATTTTTTTTTACCTCTGTTGTCAGCTAAGATGGAACCTAACGTGACATGACTGATTGTCTGTCATCAAGAAAACTATTTAAAGCTGAGGGGTCACCTGCACACATGTGTCAGTTGAGTCCTATAAGTCCACTCTCTAAAAATGCAAAGGCTCATGGGTAGAAGCTTATTTGTAAACAGTTACACTCTATGGCGGTCTGTCGGTCTGTCACCTGTGGAGGTGGTGATGTCTTGGGCCTCCTTGCCTTGGGGTATAACCTCATTCAGATTCGTTCATTATGTGCTGCTAACTGCATTTTCTATTTTGATCAATTTTGGCCAATTTGCTATTTTTGACTTTTTGTAATGCATATTGCTTTGATATAAAGATAGATCTATAATGCATTTATGCATTTTGTGATGATAACTTGTGTTTTCTAATTCTAGTGAATATATATTCACACTAGATAACTGTTGAATGTCTACTTTCAGATTTGTTTATTTTGTACTTTTTTCATAGAAAAGACCTTTCATTCTTTATGTTGCATATGTGTACCATGGAATGAGTATTTTACAGGGCAGACCAGTAAATACTGCACACAAATATTGAAACATAAGCAATTAGCATATGGCTGTATGAATAACTTCAAAACTGACCAGTTGGCCAATGTTATTAATTCTTTAAACCTTTCCTACATACGTGTTTTCTAAATTCTTCCAGCTTTTCACTTAAAGTCAAGAAAAGAAATTTATTCAATGAAATCACTACAATTAACCAATTCTTTTTTGAGAGCCAAAGTAAACTTTTTATCACATACTTTTCACAAAATAACACTCACATATTTTTTTTCATATATTTTTCAAAATTTTCAATCAAGACCTGTAACTACTAGAAAACTATGCATATTTGGTCAAAAATTATCAAAACAGGCAAAATGTTGGTGGGGAAACATTATTACGCCCAAAAGTTTAAAATGAGTTTGACTTTGGAATATTTTGACTCTTCATGGTTACTTCATGCATTGCTTCATAGAAAAATGTAGACGAAAAGATTCAAACAAAATGACAAACATCAATCCTTAAAAATATAATTCATCCCATATTTCATTAGCTATAACAATATTATTATTATTATTATCCCTTGTGTTTGAGACTATTGGTCAAAAGTGGTCACATGATCAATTCACGTCATTTTGTGTTACTAATGTCAGACATGATCCCGCACATTTTGATGGTTGCATTTTAAAATCGTTTTATGTGCACTGCTGTTTTGGCTAACAATTTTACCTAAATAATTCTAAATTGTTACCATTCTCAGGCAAGGACAATACAGGGTGATATAATTCACAATGGTAAACTCAACTTGCTTTATAGCCAATCATATCACTGCGTAATTGTAATTCCAGCAAAACCAGGAGCATCTTATACTATTGAACACTAAATGTATTGACCCTGGAAATTCAAAAATCACACAATCACCATTGAAAATACAGAGAATTGCAAAACTTCATCTATATTGTTTTATTAACATTTTTATGGTCAACGTGGCATAATTTTACAACACAATAACAAAATCCCCATCTGTAGTGGAAAGACCAAACCCCATTTGAGATTTTTTTTTGGTATCACTTCACCACCTACTGGTGTAATTTTTTTTTTCAGTAAAAAAACCACCTGTTGTATGTGTGCTATAAACATTTCCATCCAGGGTGTACTGAAATAAAGTGGAGATCAACACCCACCTGTTGGAGTGTTCATGCGTAATTATATAGTGTTCGTATAATTCAGTTAAAGTGTAAATAATTTGGTGTACGTGATTCTTTCATGCTGAATGCATCTGTATCAAAAATAACTTCAGTTCAACTACTGCAGCAAATTTATTGCTGGGAAATGTAGTGATTTATACTCAAAAATACTTGAAGCAAGTGTATTTGAATACGAAATGCATGGGTAATATTTGCGTACTTTTCATATCCATGAAGGCAGCCTGTGTTTTAAATACAAATGGTTTAATGACTGTGATATGTTCTAAAGCTGTGAGCTGATTCCAAATGACAACCAAATATGTTTTGTAAGAATCTATTTACTTTGTAAGATGCACATATCTAATAGAAAGTATATTTACCAAAAACATGGCTTTATTAGTCATTAGCCGGATGTGGTCTGTAAACAGGTACTTGTGTGTGTGTGACTAATTTAAAATTGTATCTTAGCCGTGCCTTAATAGACAAATGGCATTCATTCACTTCAAAATGGCTGAATAATGGCCATTTTGTGCTAAAAACTCATTAAAAACATACATGTATGGGTGTATTTTGTTCAACCTTGGTAAATACATTGGACATGATGCACGTTATTTTGTTGTACAGATCTGGTGGCCATTTGGTTTTAATGAATGCATTTCAGAGCCATAATCTCTGACATGCCTTGACATGTCAAAAATTTATATATACGTACATCATATGTCACACATGTGCATATGTCTATTGATTTGACGATCTGATTCAAGATGGTTGAAAAGTGGCCATTTTAATGTGAAAAAAATACATCAAAATCAAGCTTTTTTTGAAATTTTTGATCTTGGTTGTACATGCAGGGACAGATATTGTTCAGACTGGTGGACATTTTGTACAAATGAATGCTGTTAAAAGGCCATATCTGTGATATGTCATATATTGTAAACAATAGCAAATTTATTAGTTACCGTAGCAAAAATTAATACAATAATTAGAAAAAAGAAAGATGCATATACATCACCCTTAATTGACACAAAATGTGCATTAATTATTCATGAATATTTCTTGTATTGTAATTCTCAAAATTTAATTTATGCATTTTGAATACAAAAATCAAACATGTCTGATGAAGCCAATTCCATTGATGCATTCTTGGTAATAAGGAAATTTATTTCTGCGCTCAATAGTTGTAAAATATATTGAGAAATGTTGGATGCACAGCCCTACAACAGAGGAGGGACTGTATATGTTGGAAGAAATAAAAATGGAAAACATGGAGATAATAAAAAAAAGTATATCCGTGCAATGCTCAGTTTATTTTCTGCTGGTATGTAGCGAGGGAAGCAACAAACAGCAGTTGATTTATTTTTAGAATGTGTATTGTTTAGTTGATGTGATCCTTCAAATTGCCAAATTTTAACATAATAACATAAATAATCAGCCAACTTTAAAGTTGTGCATTTGACAAAATTCGTGAATTATTAGAAATATTTTGGTTTAAAAGATAATGAAAATTACATAATTTTCAAAAAATTTACTTAAGCGTGCTTGTAGTTTTGAGTTTAATTATAATACAACTTTATTAGGTAATTAAACGATAATATGAGGCTG